GATGAGGAGTAATGATGATAAAGGTACAAGGGACCCTTTTCCCACACCTTCAGGAAAATATAGGGCTATGTCCTGTATTGTACACACCAGTCTTGTACTCCCCCCCCCCCCATAGTGGATGATGTGGTCCAATACCACGACGGCCACCTTTACCTCCTAGGCTTGTAACCTGGCACCTTTTTTAAGGATTTGTCAAGCCAGCAGCCTAAGATCATTTTGATGATAATACTTTTCCTAAAAATGTGCAGGTACGTGATTTGATGTGAGTTCAAGAAACCAACATACACAGCACTATGGGCAATTCCCTATAAGTTGCTCCCATCTCAGTATTCTTCAGGCACTAATGCAGATTCCAGTGCCACATATCACATACAGATCGGCATTCCTTGGGTGATGTGATTAGTACCATGCCAGCTGCCTTTAGTTCCCAGAACTTTACCCAGTACCCATTTAGGGCTGGGTCAAGCTGGGGACTAATGTCATTTTGGTGATAATACTTCCCTAAAAAGAACAGATGTGAGAGCAGAGTACGCAAGTTACTTCTGTCATTCAGTGTTAGGGTTATAATTTTTCTCATTTGTTAACACAGCGCACAAAGATTCAGTCACTTAGCTACTGATCAAAGTATTTGGTGTAACACTGTGAGCTGTATAATTCATGTTTTTTTTTTCTTTTGTGCCCGATGTGATTTTGTGTTGTGAACAGTGCCCAAAATGAAAGGTGGGCAGACTACATTCCTCTTGAAGGAGACAGCATGTGTGGGAATTTTTTTTTATTTACTGATGGCAGTTCTTAATTTATTCATTCACTATACAAAAAATGAGATGTCTTGGCTAGATGCTTGCCTGCTGATTCAAAGTTCATGGGTTCAAATCCAAATGGTACCTGACTCTTTTCTTCCAAAAAATGACCTCAGCTTCCAGATCGACCTTGCTTTAAATTAAAAAAGTATCAGGAACATTCCAGGGAAGTAAAGGTCTGAGGTTCACAACATCCCCCACCGACAACCGATTGGTCTGTATAATACAGGTCTAGCACTATATGCATGAAGGCGTGGAAAAGAGTTTTTTACTTTACATTTACTCTTCTTCTTCTGAAAATCCATGCCGTGCGGGGTTGGTAGTCATGTCTATCCACAACCTTCTGTCTCGTGTACTTTCAGTCAACTTTGACACAGATGATCTTCCATAGTCCATGCTGTGCGGCGTTGTAGTCACATCTATCCACAACCTTCTGTCTCGTGTACTTTCAGTAAACTCTGACACAAATGATCTTCAGTAGTCCATGCTGTGCGGCGTTGTAGTCACATCTATCCACAACCTTCTGTCTCGTGTACTTTCAGTAAACTCTGACACAAATGATCTTCAGTAGTCCATGCTGTGCCGCATTGGTAGTCACGAATATCCACAACCTTCTGTCTTGTGTACTTTCAGTCAGCTTTGACACAGATGATCTTCCATAGTCCATGCTGTGTGGTGTTGGTAGTAACGTCTGTCCACAACCTTCTGTCTCGTGTGCTTGCTTTAAATTAAAGGACAAGAATGGTTAAGTTTACCATGGGCAGATACTTAAGAGAGATAATATTTGCTCTGGGACTGGCAAAATATAATTCCTTAGGTTAATAATTTGTGTAGGGATTACGCTCAGAAATTTTTTTTTGACTTCATTGGCTTTTAATATTATTATTCATGCTACATTTTACAGAATAATTCTGTTGTTACATATTCATTTTTGTGTGTGTAGAGTAATTCGGACATTACATCTTCATAACTTGTCCTAGTGTCACATTTGTAGTTAAATAATTTAGTGACTACATGTTCATTACTTTTGTTTGTTTTGCCACAGTTACATTTTTACAGAGTAATTGGGTTATTGAACTATATTAAGAATACTGGGCTCAAGGTTCATATCCCTTGTTAGACTTGAGGTCTATGAAGAGCAAAACTGAAATCCAAACATGCAAAGTCCACGGAAACTGCTAGCTATGCGGCTCTAAATCCACAGGCTCAAAGACCTCCTTCCTGCAGTGCTGTAAAATATGAAGGAGTAGGCATGGCAGAATTTGTAGCTTCAAAGTAATTTTTGCTTCAGACAGTGCTTTGCTAATGCAGTTTCCCCATAGGGATCAAAGTCTGGTTTTGCTGCTTGAGCTACTGAGTTTAGTGCTTGGTGCAGCACTGTGAGCTGTGTTTTTCATGTGGAGTGCTTTTCATTTGTACAGCAGTTGAGTCCTGGTATTCAGTATGGCAGGTAGCCAGTTGTAGGCTGGTGAAATGCCTTATGTAATAATTCTACATATGTATAACTAATATATTGTGACTGATTTCTTCCATCAATGACAAACTGCATTTCTAGTGGTGACTGTTGGCTTTGGCGCCTCTAGCAACTGCCATATGCATTTGCTGCGTGCGCATATTTCTGGATTGTGCCGGGACTAACTGTTTGTTCACCAGTTTTTCAAATGGGACAGTGAGGGACATTTCATTTGATATTCACCGGCACAGGAAAGGAGCAAGTATGGGGAAAACCCGATTGCATTGAAGCTGAAAACCTGACTAAAACTAAGACTGCAAAGTAATTACAGCAGTTAAAACAGACAAACTGACTGACAATTTGGTTGTTACATCTTCCTTTGCTTATGGGTTCCAGGAACTCGTTTTGCAGGGAGAAAATAATCGACCCACTGCTCCCAGAGAAGAAGAAGCTCATTACATCTGCATAACTTTTCTTATTGTCACATGTAAATTGAAAAATTCAGTTATATCGTCATGATTCAGGTCCATCCAATCTCCCAAGACACATTCAGAATCCCAACACCTGAGTCTCGGACAGCAACAAATGAGCTGGTTTTTAGTGCCACCCTCCCACCTGTTGGATTTGTAACCTACTTTGTAAGGAGACTGTCAGAAAGAAGTAAGGTTTTTTTGTTGTTGTTGTAAATTTGTACTTTTGGATCATGCACGTTATTAATCTTACCCATGTCTTGTTGAATGGGGGAGAGGCACTGTCTGAAGAAAATTGTGCTGCGAGGAGTGACAAGGGGATCTGGCCAACAATTAAGGAAAAGGACAGAATTTTTTTTTATTTTTTAAATAGTAGAGTAATCGTATTAAAGAAGTTAAATGTTAAATAGCACAAGCAAAGGCAGCATTTTACAAAAAAAAGAAGATTTTATGCAATCTTTCTTTGTCAGTTGAGATGAGAAAGAGAATTCTCAAAAGCTATATAAATCCTATATTGATGTACGGGTGTGAATCATGGACAATTAGTAAAGTGTAAGGGATTGTAAGGGACGTGTAGCTGACTGGTCTGTTACATGTGTAGCTGGTCTGTTACATGTGTAGCTGACTGGTTTGTTACAAATGTCACTAGCACCATATTTGCAATTTATAGGAAAATGGAGCTGAAAATGGGCCCTTATTTCTGTTTGACATGCTGAAACCCCAAGCAGAGGTGGATATTCTCCTGACTGTTCATGGTCCTCCCCCCCCCCCCTTTTTATAATAATTAATATCTCATAATACTCAGACCTTTTTTTAATGCAAGAGAGTAACAACAACAACAACCACAAAAACAGCAAGAACTGTTATTTTATTATACTGTTTTCATATTTTCAGGTTCTCTCCTGTTTAAACCAGATACAGAGAAAGTGTCTGCAAATGTTATTCAGGGAAAGGTAATAGTTTCATAAATAACATTAGTTAAAATATAAGTGACTGACTGACTGACTGATGTTCAACCCCACCAGGACCGCACAACGAGTGATAAACACCCAGTAACACAAATTGCAACCATTGGGATGAGAATCATCTGGGCTCAATTTCCAGACAACCCCGTTTAACCCGTAGGTTATGTTTAGGGCCCCCGATGACAGCTGAGGTGAGGCTTTAAAATGGTGCAAAAATTGCGTCCCATATTGGAGTAAATCAAATGTAAAAGTGCCGAGCAAGAGAGTTAATGTTAGAAATCATATTTAAGAAACATAGTGTCTCGGAAATTTCGCTATAACGGGATGATATTTGATGATAAAATACAGCTAAGCCTTCAACCCATATCTCTTTAAAAAAGATACTTAAAATCAAGTGGCAAGACAGGGTCCCATATTCTGTTGTATTGGATAGAGATGGCATTCCCAGCATCGATACCATCCTGATGCAGTCATTGATTCGATGGACATGTCACGTCATCTGCTTGACAGACCATTGGCTCCCAAAAATAAATAATCTTGTGTGGTGAGATACAGGGAGGTAGACCCTCTCATGGTCGCCAGAAAGAATGCTTCAAGGACATGCTAAAGGCGTCCCTTAACTTAAAGCCTTTAATATAGACCCTGACACTTGGAAGGGTTTGCACAAGACCGAACTTTGTGGCCAACGTCTATCCGAAGAGGGGCTTCAAGAAAAAGGGCAGCGGAACAAACCAGAAAGATCCATACAACAGGCCTCTTACCTACACTGTTCCCTGCCCTCACTGTCCTAGATACTTCCGGGCCCTTATTGGGCTTATAAGCTGCCTCCGGACTCACAGAACTCAACAATAGTTTCATGACGCATGAAAGAAAGAGTGGTGCTCGCCACTTGCGATGGATGAACAACAACAACTAGACTGCCGAAGATTTACCAACACTCACGCAGCCACATTGAACTGGTTAGTTTGTAACTACACCAAAACAGCTGTTATATGGTTAATTTGTAGAATTTGTCTTTGTTTGATTATCATCCTTGAGATATTAATACCACAGACTGGATTCCATGAGGATAAAAGATAAAAGAATTTTAAAAACAAATCATAAATCTCTTTCATTTCAGTATCACAGTGTTTTTTTGTGTGTGTGTGTGTGTGATAAGGTACATCTCAGCAACATGTCTGTTTAATTTCAGAAATACAGAGTTTTAATGATAAGATACATCTTGTTAATATAATGTCTCTTTGAATCCAGTATTACAGTGTGGCTTTTGATGAGAGTGGAAATCTTCAGTCCATCACAAACTTAACAACAGGCCTCACATACCCCATTAGCCAGAACTTCCTATACTACAAGGCATTCCCTGGCAACAAATCTGACAGCCAAGCATCTGGGGCATACATCTTTAGGCCTGCAGACAACACGCCAGTCAGTGTACCACTAACAACTTGGAATGGCATTTACAGGGTAGGTTTACCTGGCTACTTACTGAACCATACAAGAGTTTCACTTAAGTCATCATCATCATCATCATCATCGTGGAGCAGGTTCTGTGCAGAACCTCACTCTCATCACGTCTGCCTGAAAGAAATTCAGCCTCTCGCCAGTTCTGCCACCTTGTGCACTTTCATATTCAAGAAGTCACTTATATTCTTTGCCTATATTTATGTTGGTCGACCCCTGCCCATCTTTCCTGGTGCCATGCCTTTTGCTATTTTGTTTTTTTGTTTTTTGTCTGTCATAGCACTTGATGTAGCCAGAATATTTCAGCTGTTCATTAGTCAATCCTCGATGTTCAGATCTTTTAGAATGTCAGTGTGTCTTTTCTTCTTTGTCCATGGTATTCCGAGAATCTTTCTATAGCATTTAAGATCAAAAGCACCTTTTTTTTTCTTAAGGACTGGGAGATAGTCCACTTCTGCCATCCTTATGTTCTACAGGGAATATGCATGCTCTCAAAATTTAAATGTTGATTTTCTTGCTAATGATAACATAGACTTCTAATGTTGTCTGATCTTTGTATCGTAACACCAACAGTAGTACAACTTCAAGAACATGTTAATATACTCTTCAGTCAGAATGCAGCAACGATGATTTGAAGATCAATGAAGAGAAAACCTATTATGGTTGCTTGTTCTCTCCCATTCTGCATATATGTCCAAACATGGGATCCACTTGAGTTTGTGAGGCCCGGGTTTCAAGATCCTGACATATTGTTTGATTGCAGGCTGTCCCTTCTTGTCACTTGGATCACCTTTCTCAGATATCTCCTTTCTGAAGCCTAAAGCTGGCTTCTGTAAGCTGTTGTCATTGCCCATGACTCACACCCATACGTCAGGACTGGCACATATGTAGAGTGGATTTTCATCACCCTGCCTATTTCTCTTTGGTGAGACACCCTCGAGTTTTGACCTGGAAAAGTGTCCCAGCAGCTGCTTTTCTTACATATACTTACACACACACACGCATGCATGCACGTGCACATGTGTATATAGTCCGTTGAAACCTTTCCCTTATTCCAGACAATAGTGTTCTATTTTGCTATAAGGATGCATAGGACTCACAGCACATGGCGATGGCCATTGTGACTAGCAAGACCCGCCCGTGTTAAGAATAGCCTTCCACAATTAGAGCATGTAATTTCAGGACCATTGTTGCCATCACATGAATGTAGCGGGCATCTTCTGAGACATTCAGCTCTCAGTATGTCTGCAATCATTGTTTCCTTTATTCCCATTCTGTTCCTGGTTTTCTTCCTCCATGCAACACTGTCTGTGGCATTTTATTCCCAGGAATCTACCTCAGTACCTGTATCATTCATGTCTCGCTTGTACGTGTCTTTATATCTTTTTATATATGTATGTATGTGTTTATGTATAAAATTATGTCTTTTTAGGGCTCTGTGGTTCAAGAAGCCTACCAACAGTTCTCCAGCTGGGCTTCCCAAGTTGTACGAGTGTATGCAGACAAGCCATACGTGGAAGTGCAGTGGACTATTGGGCCTATTCCCACAGAGTAAGCTGAAGTTTCTAAGAGTTTATAGAACCAGTCTCCCCATGTGGCTTCCACGATTCTACATTTTGGGGAAAAGAATAAACCAATCGTCCTCCTAGCAAGCTTATCGTAAATATTGGCCAATCAGGGCGTTTCTTTTGCAGAATGCATCTGCCTGTGGGGCAAGGAACCAGCAGTCTGCTCACAAATAAGCCACATCTGTAAAACAGCTGTGCATGCAAATCTAAATTATAGAACAAGACTTAAGTCTAAAAGTAGATGAATAACCAGAGCTTTCTGCTGTAGTTTTCAGCAGGCAAATGCAAAGAAGAAGAAAAGTAGAACCGTTCCTGATGTATTGAAGGAAATCATGGATAGTCAGCAGACTGGTGAGAAATTATGCGGAGGCTGCTGAAATGGGTGTTCACAGAAGAATCTTCTTCTTCAGTGATAAACTGAATCCACTATGGTCTGTAAACTGATGGGGGGGGGGGGGGGTCAGCTCAGGGTCTCTCAAGCTTAGTGCCAGATTTTCAAGTTTTGTTTGTTTGTCCAGATGTCCTCTATATTCTGTCCCTGTGCAGTGTCACATGACCTGTAGTGTGAAAGTGGCAAAGATATTTAGTCTAAAAGTAGCACAAATATTTAGTCTAAAAGTAGCACAGATATTTCGTGTGAAAGTAGCACAGATATTTAGTCTAAAAGTAGCACAGATATTTAGTGTGAAAGTAGCACAGATATTTAGTCTAAAAGTAGCACAGATATTTAGTCTAAAAGTAGCACAGATATTTAGTCTAAAAGTAGCACATATATTTAGTCTAAAAGTAGCACAGATATTTAGTGTGAAAGTAGCACAGATATTTAGTCTAAAAGTAGCGAAGATATTTAGTCTAAAAGTAGCGAAGATATTCAGTGTGAAAGTAGCAGAGATATTTAGTGTGAAAGTAACACAGATATTTAATGTGAAAGTAGCACAGATATTTAGTGTGAAAGTAGCACATATATTTAGTGTAAAAGTAGCACAGATATTTGGTATGAAAGTAAAGTAGCACAGATATTTAGTGTGAAAGTAGCACAGATATTTAGTGTGAAAGTAGCACAGATATTTAGTGTGAAAGTAGCATAGATATTTGGTATGAAAGTAAAGTAGCACAGATATTTAGTGTGAGAGTAGCACAGATATTTAATGTGAAAGTAGCACAGATATTTAGTGTGAAAGTAGCACAGATATTTAGTGTAAAAGTAGCACAGATATTTGGTATGAAAGTAAAGTAGCACAGATATTTGGTATGAAATTAGCACAGATATTTAGTGTGGAAAAAGCACATATTTTAGTGTGGAAAAAGCACATTTTTAAGTATGGAAGTAGCACCGATATTTTGTATGAAAGAAGCACAGATATTTAGGGTGAAAGTAGCACAGATATTTGGTATGAAAGAAGCACAGAAATTTTGTATAAAAGAAGCACAGATATTTAGGGTGAAATTAGCACAGATATTTAGTGTGGAAAAAGCACAAATTTTAGTGTGGAAAAAAGCACATATTTTAGTGTGGAAAAAGCACATATTTTAGTGTGGAAAAAGCACATATTTAGTATGAAAGTAGCACATATATTTAGTGTGAAAGTAGCACATATATTTTTGTATGAAAGTAGCACAGATATTTAGGGTGAAAGTAGCACAGATATTTAGGGTGAAAGTAGCACATATATTTTGTATGAAAGTAGCACAGATATTTAGCATGCAAGTAAAGGAAATATCTGTAGTGTTAAAGTAGCACAGATATTTAGTATGAGAGTAGAACACATATTTCGTATGAAAGTAAAAATAATACCTGAAGTGCGCGAAAGTGTCACAAATATTTAATGTAAAAGTATCACAAATATTTAGTATTAAAGTAGCCAGAATATTTGCTATGAAAGTAAAAGAAATATCTAGTTTTAAGTAGCACAGAAATGTAGCATGAAAATAGCACATGCATTTAGTATTAAAGTAGCAGAAATATTTACTATGAAAGTAGCACAAATATTCAGAAGGAAAGTAGCACAAATATTTAGTATCAAAGTAGCACATCTATTTATTATGAAAGAAGCAGTATTTATAATCTTTAAGTAGTGTGTATATCTGTAGCATTAAAAGTAAAGTAACGGACCTTTTTCATGATTTTAGCATATCGGACATACGGTGACAGGCCTATATTTTTATAGGCCAGTTGGTGCAGGATGGGTTAGTTAGTTAGTTAGTTAGTTAGTTAGTTAGTTAGTTGGGTTATCCTCATTGCACTCCGGACATGTCCATAGGTGCTCAGATCCTCCCCTCAGTATGAACCCCAACGTCCGATGGCTAATAGTACCAGTTCTATGTTGATTAACAAGTCTTCTGGCGTAGCTGGTGTGCGTCTCGTTTTTTGCTGTGCCGATCTTAATTCCCAAGTCTGCCATTCTGGCGAGTGATGTGGATTCACTGCCACCAAAGTCCTCTATCCTTCCCATTTCTCTGAGGGCATTGATAATATCAGCATGATCCATAGGCTGACCGTCGGTAGTGATAGCGGATCCAGCCAACCTGTCAGCTCTTTCATTTCCATCGACGCCTGCGTGTCCCGGAACAAAAATAAAGGTGACTCCACGGACAGTGGACTTCTGTAATGATTCAAGCCATTGTCTTCGCACTGAACCTGCCTGAACCCTCCGGATCATACTCATTGAATCACTGAGTATACACACGCGGGTGTATTTTTGTGTTTCAAGCCAGGCAAGCGCTTGTGTCACTGCCATCACCTCCATCGTCATGCTGCTGGTTGTCATGGAGAAGGCGCCGTTGTCTTCTTTGACTGTTCTGCCCGCTGAGCGTGCTGTAAATGCCCATGCGCTTCTTCTTTGGCGTATAATGGATCCGTCTGTATAGATTATTGCATCTGCTTCGTCTGAATTTTCACCGATGAGAGCGTTGACCTCTGCATTAACAGCAACAGGATTCTCTTCTCTACATCGCCTTTTGAGTGTGACAATACAGGAAAATGTACAAATAAACGCCTGAGGCACAGGTATCCATTCTGCATCAGGTATGATGTCGGTTAGGCTGCATATTTGCCTAATAACATCTTCTGCCCGACCTAGCCACGATTTCCCCCCTCTTCAGTCTGTCGCCCTTTTCACTAAAAAGCGCTTGATGCAGTGGGTGTTTCTTATCAGCACATATTTTGAGATATGCCCGAGCCCTCCACATCCTGATCCTTTGGTTCATTGTTGGAAAGTCAAGTAGATACCTCATTGCTCCACAGGATGTGTCTCTAGTACATCCCAAAATAATGCGCATGGCTTCATTTTGCACCTTTTCGAGTCGTTCAATCTGGGTAGCACTGACAGTGAGGATGGCCAGAGCGTATTCAATGGGGGAAAGGACCAGACCATAGAATAGAAGTATTAGTAGTCTTTGCTCAATGTTGGAAGCAGCCATAATCCTCATTGCAGATAGACCTTTGCGTGCTTTTGTTATCACATGGTCAACGTGTTCCCTGAATGACAAGCTGCGATCGAACCTCACCCCGAGAAATGTCATAACGTTGGTTCTGATCAATACATTATCACGCATTTTCACTTCTGGTAAGTCCGACTTGACAATGTGATTGTTCAAAGAGAACCATGACACTGATGCCTTCGAAGGATTGACATAGGCATTGGAACCATCACACCAGGCGGCAATTCGATCTAGTTCTTTGTGCATAGTGCTGGCGATCTCCTGTCTATCACGCCCTCGTTGGTGCAGGATGGGTGTTGTGGTCTACATTGTGCCGGCCGTTTTTTTACTTTCCAGAACATTAGCTGGGACCCATTTAGACTGAGTTGACAGGGAGCCAAAGTCATTAAACAAAATCTGTGTCAGTAGAGATTTAAAGCCATGTATGTTCCGTGTCCTATTTGAAGGGAAACAAAAATAGACCTGCTGCCTACTAACTGGCGTGTCATAAAAGGTGCCTAATTAGGGTTGTTTCTTTTCATCCGAGTGTATCTGCTTCAGAGGTGATGAACCAACAATTCTGCACTCAAATAAAGCAGATCTGCAGAATGGATGTGCATGCAAAACTCAGGTTCTAATACAAGACCAAAATCCAGACGTTAACGAATAATGATAACATTTTGTCAGAGTTTACAGCCGATAAACACGAAGAAGAAGAAGAAGAAAGAAGCCATGGCATTGCGAATCTAGCCATTGTGCTGCTACAGCTCTCTGTAGTATTAAAGTAACATTGAAACAAAAATTGTGTTGTATCTTTGTGGTGAGAAAGTTATCCAAAATAAGTTTGTTGTATCTTTTAACTAGTGATAATGTAGGCAAAGAAGTGGTGACTCGTTACAACATTCCAGGCTTTGGCAACAAGGGAGTGTTCTTCACAGATGCCAACGGAAGGGAGATTCTTCAGAGACAGTGAGTATTCTTTGACAAAACCCATTTCTGTTTAGAATAAAAGTATTTTCCTGTTTTAGAATGTTTTTGTTTGTTTGTTAGAAAGATCTTTCTTAAAAGGAACAAATAAGTTTTTTCCTTTTGAACTAAACTTTCTTTAAAAAAAAAAAGAGAGCATTTTCTTTACCCATTTCGAAAGAAATACCTTAAAATAACCATTTGTGATACACAGGTAACTAATATTGTTTAAAACTTTCTTGACTTTAAAAAAAGCTGTTCAATTCAGATGTTCAGATGGAAACCCTTCTAAATGTTATGTTTAGTTAATAAATTCACATCAGGGTCCCTTAAACTTTACATATGCGCACATAGAACTAATGGTATTTAACCATGCTTTTTAAGAACAGGCCACTGCGATAAACCAGCATTTACGGGGCTGTGTCACAACCAGAAGTGATTAGGTTTAGCTTTCTCCGGGTGATGGGTTTTGAAAAGAAATAGTTTCCTTTGACAAAACAAATTTCTTTCAGAAAGACAGTATTTTCATTGAAAGCAGAAACAAAAAAGGATCCTTCATTGTATTGATTTCTGTGTTATAAACAGTTTGATGCACAAAATAATTGTTAATGATATACCTACAGTCTACATAATTGGTGGAGAGCTGGAGACAATTGACAATTTTATGCATCTGGGATCCACAGTGAATAAAAAAATCTATCACTGGAACAAGAAATCAACATAAGTTAGCTGAGGCAGCAATCGCAATCAGCAGATTAACTTAAAAAGTTTGGGAGAATTGAATCCTTTCTCCCACATGACTCCTCCTTTCTCCCACATGACTCCTCCTTCCTTCCACATGACTCCTTCTTCCTCCTACTTGACTGCTCCTTTCTCCCACATGACTCTTCCTTCCTCCTACATGATGCCGCCTCCTCCCACATGACTCATGAGTTGAGTTGATTCAAGAACAGACATCACAGCTCTTGGAGCATTATCATAAGTGCTCCGTCCCCATTCTCAGCAGCCAGTGAAGAGTTCTGATACTAATGGTGCCAGTAGCATTCTGATTAAACGTCTATCTTGCCTTTCCTCTGAGCCTCGAGCATCTGCCAGAACCCCTCCTCACTCCCGGCTGCATCAATCTCACCAGACTGCGGTGATCCATCCGCTCCTCTAAACTGTACACACTCTCCCACTATGCACTAACCACGTCTGCCTTATCATGCATCAGTATTCTATCAATTTGTCCAGAGCCAGCCAGCCTATCCGCCTGTATATTTCCCAACACACCAGCGTTTCCTGGTGAAAAAGCATGACTCATGTTTTTCTAATACATCTCTTTGTTCTTTTTTCTCACAAAATGTCCCTCACACAAGACTTCTCTCTCATTTTCTTCACTCTCGCATCTTCCTTCCCTCACAGACTTAACTACAGGCCGACATGGAACCTCAACCAGACTGAGCCAGTAGGCGGAAACTACTTCCCAGTGAATGCTCTCATTGCTATCAAGGTATGAGTATGTCCACCTTGTCATCCTCCTCTTCAATCTTTTGTTGTCTTCTTTATGTGATTTTACCATCTTTTTAAGTGTGTCTTCTCATTACAGATCATCGTCATAGTTTCATTAACATGGTGTGTTGTTGGATCATCAGTTGCTGTTCCACTGATCAGTTCCCTCGGCCTCTGCTGTTCAGATGCAGGTTGACTGCAAGTTTAAGGCCTAACCGGTCAGCTAAATTCCATGTCTGTTTCTTCCTTGTTCTTCCTGTTTACCTCTTACCCTCTACAGAACCCATCGGTAGAGGTTAGTCGATCTTTTCACATGTCGATACCATTGCAGTGTGTGTCGTTTCACTGTTGCTAAAAGAGGTTTTCATAGTTTCCAGTGTGTTGAGTGATGATACAGAAAACATCATAATTTTTAATGTGGTCTCTGTATAATATACAAAGGATAGGAATGGCTGAAAATGTCTTTAAAAAAATGCACAAATTACTGACAGCTAGAGCGATAAACAACACACTAAAAATGAGAATTGTCAAATGTTATCTATATGCAAGCCTGCTATATTGTGCAGAAACCTGGAAAATGGAGAAGCAACTAGAAAATCGAATCGGGTCTCTGGAGAATGGGTATACAGAGGAATCAGTAATATTTCATGAAAACAAAAGCAGTCCAGTGCAGAGGTTCTGAGAAGATTACAAATGAAAAGTGAAGTACTGTGAGAAATAGAATAAAAAAAGACAATTTAAATACTTTGGCTACATTAAAAGTCAGAACAGGCATTTAAAAACCATACTGGAGGGAAAGGTCGAAGGCTAGAGAGCAGAAGGTGGGCAGCGATACAAATGGGAGGACAGTATTGAGAGACAGACGGGCAGCAGTCTGAGAGAGTGTACAACCAGGACAAGAGACAGAGCGTGATGGAGACGGCACTTGATTGATTGATTGATAATATACCAAGAATCTTTCATAAAAATCTTATTTCCGGTGCTCATATTTTTCTTTCGTGTTCAGATGTTAAGGTCCATGTTTGACAGCCATTTGTAAATATACTGATAGCTAGTGCTCTAAGCAGTCATAACTTTTATTACAAATGAGTGAATATAATTACTTCATTAGCAATTTCCACTTTTGCTATTAAGTGTCATGGGAAGAAACAGTTTGTGATCCATTTCTAGTTGGGTAGCAATGGCAATTGTCATTCCTTGTTGGTGTAGAACAGGGTTATTTAATTAAGTTTACCCAGGACCAACATTTTTAAAATGGGGATCGTTGCGGGCCACTAGCCTAAGCCCCAGTATAGAAAGATCATTAATACAATACTGATGATAGGGATCCGGGGGCCACTTGCTGAGCTTCCGCAGGTCAGATTTGGCACGTGAGCCGCCAGTCAAATGGCTCTGGTTTAGAAGTTCTTTAATGTCATCATCTTTCTCTACAGCAGACTCTTGCTTTCATATTAGAACTTCCCGATGTGGGTTTCAGGGCCCTATTGTGAGGAAAAAAAGAATTGACACTGCCTGCCAAAAAGCATTTAGTAAGGTTGGAGCTTCTAATCTGAACATCAAGGAAGACTGGCTAAAAAAAAAGCATTCTTTCTCAGAAGCTGAAATATTTTGGTCATATCAAGCGCCACGACGGAGTGGAAAAAATATAGCAGAAGGCATGGTACCCCAAAGGAGGGGCAGGGGCCAACCAACACGAAGATGGGCACAGGATATAAGCGACTCTTTGAGTATGAAAGTACATGAGGTGGGAGAGCTGGCAAGAGACCAAGTTTCTTTCAGGCAGATCGTGATGAGAGCAGCGTTCTGCAAAGGACCTGCTACATGATGATGATGATGGAGCTTCTAAATAGGAGCTTCCATCGAAGTCGAAGTACATCTGCTTGAGAGACAAGGAACCAACAGTCTGCATTCAGATGAATCAGACTTGTGAAACAGATCTGCATGCAAAACTCAGTTTCTGGAACAGGACTGGAGCCTAGAAGTGGACAAACAACCAGAACTTTCCGCTGGAGTTTAAAGCCCATGAATGCAAAATAGAAGAAGATATCATAACTTTTCATGTATAGCGCCTGCATTGGTAGTTATTCTGACTGCATTCGTACTAGATGACCGGACCATTGAATTTTTTATTTCTCCGTGAATTTGATGCATAGTCTGATATTATTTCTAACTTTGTCCTGGATGGTTCAGTTGGGGGCTTTTCTCAGGCATCTCATTTCACAGGTGCTAATTTTACATAGGTTAGCCTTTAATAATGTCTGGCACTGGTAGCACAGTGTTGATATGAGTATGCTGTGTATAATTTGTTTCTTGGCACTCATAATTTTGATGTCCTAATGGCGTCATTTGGTATAAAAGTGCACTGGCTCGTTGGCATCATGCTTATATTTCTCAGCCTGTTCTCCCATCCTCCGAGAATATACTTCACGGATATTTAAAATTATTTAACTTGCCTCAGACAAGTACCATCCTGTAAGTACATCATTAGACCAAAAAGGCCTCACCAAGATTTGTCCCTCACTGACCACAGATATTGCCCCAAGGCAGCCAAACACTATAACTAGACATCTGTGGGAGCTGCAAGAGTGCATGGCTAGCAGACTCACCTGTATTTTCTGTGGTCATGTGTTTAAATCTCTCTTGAGGCAAGAATTTAACCTAAACCACTTATAGCTATGTCAGCCGATGTGTTGCTATATTGTTGTTGTTTTTTTTTACATCCCACAGAGTGGCGATGCCAAAGCCCAACTGTCTGTTCTCGTTGACAGGTCACAAGGGGGCACTAGCCTCAATGATGGAGATGTTGAGATCATGGTATGAATGACATCATCTAGATATTATAGTTGTAGTATTAATGGCCACTGGGTTCTGCTGCCCCATTTGGAAGTGCAGGAAATAGACCCATATGTTTTAAAATAACATGTTATAATAAGAGGTGTTACCTTCAAAGCAGGAGTGCATCTGACTGAGAGACAAGGAACTGTAAAACAAATGTTCACACAAAACTCAATAGTGCATCTGACTGAGAGACAAGGAACTGTAAAACAAATGTTCACACAAAACTCAATAGTGCATCTGACTGAGTGGTGAGGATTTGTAAAACAAATTTTTACACAAAACTCAAATCCCAAAACAAGACTGAAGTCCAGAAATGGACAAGTAACCATAACTTTTCACTGGAGTTTACTGAAGATGCACACAATGAAGAAGAAGAAGAACTAAATTATTATAGTCACTACCACGAGACGTGCAGCACAAAGAGTCCTCACACTTAAATACAACAGAAGCAAGGCTAGAGGTTGCCCACTCAAGCGATGGTTAGATGGAATGAACCCAGGAATACCAGCATCTTAGTAGCACACACTCGGTCTATAACCAGATTTCTTGTCAGTACCTGACGCTAAAAGATAAAACAGGGTTTGAGACGTGAAAGAAAGATGAAGAAAAGCTGTTGCATTTTAATAATATTTTAGTACTGTAGCAACATAAACTTTCAGGTTCTTAGACTGCATACATTTAACATGTATATTCAGCTGCCAACACAGCACATACAATTAACCTATACTTTGGTTGTTTAGACACCACGTACAGTTAACCTATACATTTTTCTTATACCTAGATATCGTGTACAGTTAGCATATATATATATATATATATATATATATATATATATATATATATATATATATATATATATATATATATATATATATATATATATATATATATATATATATATATATATCTATCTATATATATAAAAATCAATGTTTGTGTGTTTGTTTCACCCCTATAGACTCGGAAACTACTGAACCGATTTAGCTGAAATTTTCAGGATATGTTTGTTGTGGTACCGGATTTTGAACTGTCGTGGTTTGAAATTCAACCTGTCACTGTTAGAGATAGGTGACCACAATTTATGCCAAAATATACGCAACTAATATTTATAACTTTAGTGATTTCTAATTATAGCCACGTTAGTAATTGCGCATGCGCCGTATTTACCATTCGCCGGCGAGTTACGCGCAGCCAACGCCTTCTCTAATACTAATACATAGAGTAGGTCGTGGTACAGCAAACAAGACTATCTCTATATTTGCCACAATAACCATATTAAACACGATTTCTATTTTCTGCTTTTTTTTTCAAACAACCTTCGATTGGCGGGAGGGGGGGGGGGGGCAGTCAAGGACTATCTCGACGTCGGCGCAGACAGTGACTGCGACATTAACTTCATTAACCGTGTTAGACACGTGCGATTTCTATTTCATTAATATATCTGGAGTATCTGTCTATGAGAAAACAATTGCCTGCGGTTTTGAATTGTGTTTTAATCGTGACACAGTGGTAGGGACACACATGTCTAATAGTTGAGTTCTCTTTTCGTTAATCCGATTAAGTGGCTGCTTGGTCGAATGGTTAGAACACTGGGTTCATGTGCGGTAGACCTGGGTTCGAATCCGCAGTCGTTGATTTTTTTTTAAACCCCGAACTAAAATAATATCCCCATCTGCTCTGTCGTGGTGACAGCACTAGCCATGTTGCCTTAATATTTAAAAAAAAAACAAGTAAATGGGTAAACCATTTGATAATTAAATTTGACCATTTCGCATACTTATGATTGCATTGTTAAACTTTCCGATTGCATGGTTACGCTGAAATTTTATAGATTTTCATTTATTTTCATTTACATTTAGTTATTTCATCTGTGTTGGAATTTCATGCTGTGCTGTTTACAATGGCGTTCATTTCCTAATTATGGTGTTTTTTTCCTGTGTTCGTTTGCTTTTCAAGTGTTTTTTTTAAATCCCAACTACTTCAATGAGGGAAAGAGTTGTCGGTGAATTTGGGGGAAGGGGGGGGGGGGGCAAACTATTAACTGAGAGAGCTTTAAGTCACAGTAACTGCTTTACCCACTTAAAGTAGCAGCAGCAGTAATAGTTGTTACACCAGGGCTGTTACACCATAGTTCTCTCATGTGAAGACCGCCGGTAAGGTTATGGCGTTCTTCTGTCGGCAAGTGAAATTATACATCCTAACCTGACCAGTCTGTGGCGACAGCACTAGCCATGCGGAACCAAATCTTCTGGCTCACGACTCTCTGTCTACTCTGATGGTAACACAGATAGCAGTGACATTATTATAATGACTTAAATTTAAGAGAAATTAAAGAGCTTTACACTTGATTTTCAAGTTCTCATTACCTAATTTGTTTATATTTTACTAACGCTACCTCCGCTTTTCTATTTTTTACGACTTACTTTGTTATTCACAAGTACAGTTGTAGCTTTACTTCCGTCCCCTATAAAAATACAAACAGCTTTAGCATGTGATAACCAAATAACCATTTTTGTTACTGTGCTAATAACACCATTTAAACGACCACTAATATAAAGACACAATTATAAGGTGCGTGTTCTAAAGTTGGAAAACCAGACTATCGCTATATCTGTGCAGAGAATGATTGCGACATTAACTGTATTAGACACGTGCGATTTCCATTGTCTTTCTTTTCCAAAAACCTTTAATGAGGGAGATAGTAGTAGGTGGATTTAGTTGTGGTGGTGGGCGGGGATCAAAGACTATCTCTATATCTGAGCAGACAATGATTGTATTAGACACGTGCGATTTCTATTTTCTTTCATTTCTATTTAGCCAAACTATGCCACAGCAACGCGTGGCCGGGTACAGCTAGTATATATATATATATATATATATATATATATATATATATATATATATATATATATATATATATATATATATATATATATATATATATATATATATACCACATAAGTTAACACACACATATATATTAATTGACTTACCTCGATACCACATACAAGTAACATATAGGTTTTCTTACCTACATACCTCATACATTTAACGTATACATTTAATTACCTAAAGACAACCACATTACTTAATAAATACATTTACTTACCTAGATACCACATACATTTAACATATACATTAAGTTACTGAGAAAACACATACATTTAACATATACATTTAGTTTCCTAGATTCAACATACAGTTAACCTGTACATTTAGTTACCTAGATACCACATACTGTTAACATATACATTTAGTAACCTAGATATGGTCAGTTATTTATACATTTAGTTATTTAGATACCACATATAGTTAACATATACAAATCCATTTAGTTTCCTAGACACCACATACAGTTAACATATACATTTAGTTACCAAGATACCTAATATTGTTAACATATGCATTTAGTTACATAGTACTGATTTTGCACTCCCTGATACCATTATTCAGCCATTATTATCCTTCCACTTGTATCACTGTCTACCTTTTATTCACCTGTATGTCACTTTTCATATTGTAGAAACATCCTATTTTCCCCAGTGTTAGGATTGTTTCAAATTCCATCACTGTTTCTTTAGTTGTTGTTAGCTACATCGTCGTTTAACCCAAGATGACGGCAGAGGTGTGGGCGAGCCTCTAAATGAAACAGGACCTGATGGAAAAGGATTGATTATCAGAGGTGAGGGCCGTGTTTGGTGCTTTATTAATATCCTCCCCCAAACAGGGGAAATCCACAGGTCACAGGACAGTCTAATATTTCAGGGGGTGGTAGATAGGCTGCATGTATTTGTGGAACCTAGGCTGCATGCAGTCGTTTGACCCAGGCTGCACTTTCTTTTGGGACGTAGGTGAGTTGGGGTTAGGGCCAATTCTAGATGTTTTGGGATCATTAAAAGCATCAGAAAGCCGGGAAACCCAGTCTTACCACCCTCTAAAATTGTTGACTGTCCTGGGATGTCATCTGGGGTAGGATGATAATGAAGCACCTCATTTTCATTTCCTTTCAAGTAATTGAGTCATCACAGTTCCAGCTTCACATCAAATGGGTCCCCCTATAGCTGGAAGAATTTGGAAGCAACAGATGTGGTTTCTGAGATGAATGTTACAAATACCTTGGACGGTATCAACAAGAGAGCTGTTCCAGGCAACCAGGGATAGTTATCTGTGGAGATGCATGAGCACCTAAGCCATTTGGCAGGGCACATGATGATAATGATAGTTGTTTCACTCCTGTGCCAAGAAAACTATACCAAATGTCCATCACTGTCCTTGTGAAAAAAACTGAGTCTTAGCAAATCTAACAGCATACACACACATTAAATACATAAGACAGCAGTCAGAACACAAACAGTGGAACTCTAAAAATACTGTTTCTCATCGATGAAAGCAGCAATTACAGCGGATCTCAGCATTTTTCTGATGACTTCTAAAACACCTTAGTATTTTGTTCATCCAGTCATCATCATCATAAAGCACTTCTGCCGTTAAGCGTCGTGGGGAGAAATAATTTGCTATCCAGTGCACGTTGGCTGCCACTGGCCATTGTCATGCCGTGAAGGCGTAGAGTGTCTTTAATGTTGTCGATCCATGTTTTCCGTGGCCGTCCTCTTGCTTTTGTAGTTGATCTTCTGAGATGTAGTGCTTGTGATGGTATTTGATCTTGCTGATTTCTTACGAGATGGCCAAACCACTTGATCTGCTGTTTTTTGATGAATCTAGTACAAGGTGTCGTTCCCACAATTTGCCTGATAGTTTCATCAGTACTACATGTATTTTCTATTTCCTGTTCTGTTATTGAAAGGAATTGGTGCTACAGCACATTGGGTGTTTCCATGCCTCCTCAGTCCTCCAATGCAGCAGCCACTTCAGACTACCTCTACTTATTGTTCTTATGAGAAGTTGGTTATAGTGTGTCATCTTGACCTTGAAGACAGCATAGGTGTGCTTCACCAGTCTTTACTTCCAAGCCATACAGTCGTGTTAGTCGAGTCAACAATTTATCATTTTCCCCCAGCTTAGTCTGTACAGCTTTAATGATATCAGCTCTGTCCATGCGTCTTCCCGTTTTCATTGGTGCATTACTTTCTGTAGGCAGGCCAAACCATTTTTTGAGGCCTCAGAGATGTGGTTTTACAGAAGAATGCTTAGAATACTTTGGACAGCAAAAAAGAGCAATTACGAGGTTTTGAAAGAGGTGGGAGCCCGAAGACAACTTATCACAGACATCAGAAGGAGACAGTCTCATTTTTCTGCCATGTTATGAGAAGACGGAAAATAGAACATGTTGTGACCACTGGAAAGATCTGTGGAAGAAAGGATAGAGGAAGACAACGAGAGAAGATTCTTGATATGTTGCGTGGCATTGAGATGTGTCGGCACACACACTGATACATGCTGCAGGAGATTGCAGATTGTGGAAAGGCATGATCGCCCACGCCAGTCGGCAAGGCAGCTGATGATGATGATTACTTTCGGGTGTACTTTCTGACTATCTCATTGTCACTTTTCTTCCCATCTGAACACACAGTGCCCATCTTCACACATACTATGGCAGCTGCATGGTCTCGAGGCATGGTGTTCACTTCGAGTGCTAGAGGTTCTGGGTTCAATACCTGGTAAGGGCTGAGATTTTTTTCCGGGTAGTAAGACCGGCACCCATGTGCATTGGTACACACGTTAAAAATCCCTTGGCGGTTGGAAATCGAAAAAAGAAGAGCCTAACGGCGCTGCCCGGGCAAAATTAGGAGTTAAAAATCCACCCAAAGTATTTCAGGATCCTAGCTGGTCCTACAGAGTGTGTGCACTGTGCTGAGTTTCTTTGGACTCAGACTTCATTTAGAAGAACAGAGCAGTTATGGGTTACACCCATGTGCCATGATATTGATCCATTGTTCAAAACCTCAAACACAGTGAATATATGTTCTTCTCCTTCTACTTCTCTTCCTGTAGTTACCAGATTTAATTGTTAAGAAGGAATGTAAGTATTTTCAGTTTGCTCTTTTTAATGCACTTTGGAAGTCGGTCTTCATTTCTCTAAGGTTGTTCTTGATATTACTGTCCCATCTTTTGCAGGGTCTTCTCATTGCTTTATCCCTCTGTTCATGTTTTTTATTACTCCTTATATATATATATATATATATATATATATATATATATATATATATATATATATATATATATATATATATATATATATATATATATATATATATATATATATATATATATATATGGAGTACATTCCCCTGGGTCTTATGTATCGGGTGACCCCTGCCATGACCTCTATCAATGAAGATGTGGGGATTTTGAAGTCAACATGGCTTTAGAAAAAGTTATTTATTTTGCAAGAAAAAACCCTTACATGCTATTTTTAGTATGTATATTCATCTGGGCCTCCTAAAAGCTGCAGTGGTGATATTGTGCTGTGCTTCTCAGAAGCAGGGAATTTAAGATATGCCAGTTTTTATGGCAATCTGGCAATATGAAATTGCTCAGTTTGCAGCTTTTTGGGGTAATCAAGCTATCACTTTGTTAACTTTCTAGCAAACTGGTCACCCTGTAGTTGCTCTGTTTCTACGCCAATGAAATCCACACAGAACCTCCATCGCTGTCTATTGTGAAGAAAAAAAAAATAGGGACAGGCTGCAGTCTCAGCAAACCCAGTAACATGCATCATCATCTTCAAGTGCCTTGCTGACTGGCGTGGGCGGTCATGCCTCTCCACCATCTGGGGTCTGCAGCTGCGTATCTCAGTTCATATGTTGACACCCCTCCATGCCTTTGCAAAAGGCTGTCAAGAATCTTCTTGCGCTTCTTCCTCCGTCTCTCTTTCTACGTATGTTTTCAGTGGTCACCACATGTTCATGTTTCCCTTTTCTCATAACTTGACCAAAAATTATTGACTGTCTCTTTCTGATGTTTGTGATAAGCTGTCTTTGAGACTTCACCTCACTCGAAACATCTGGGTTGCTCTTTTTAGCTGTCCCAAAAAATTCTAAGGATTCTTCTGTAAAACCACATTTCTGAGGTCTCAAGAAATTGTTCGGCTTGTTTATTAACTGTCCAGGATTCACAGCCATAAGTTAAAACTGGCTTTGTAAAGCATGCAAGAATTCTTGCCCCAACCTTCAATGACATGGATTTATTGCATAAATTATTATTTATTTTATAAGATGCAGTTTTGGTCCTGTCCTATTCTATTCTTTATATCTGTGATACATCTCCCATCAGATGCCATCCACATGCCTAGATACTTAAGCGTCTGTACTAGTCCTAAAATAACACCGTTGACTTTTTAAAAAATACATTTAGGCACTATTATTTTCTTGAAACCATTACTTCTGTCATCCCATTATTCAAACTAAGGCCCATTTTGTCACTTTCTTCTACCACCATTCCTATCAGTTCCTTGTAGTTACTTCTGACTTGTTGCTATCAAGATGATTTTGTCAGTATAACTTAGGTTGCGATAGCAAACACACACGTTAGATGCACAAGGCAGCTGTCGAAAGTGCCAATACAAACAGTTTGCCACTAGGGATGCAGTTCGTCAGGTTGACAGGTTACATTTTTAATGAGTTGTTTTTTTTTTTTAAGGTTCATTCACTTTTGAATGAACCCCCATGCACCCTCTCTGTCTCACAACACAGAGCCATCTTTATATCTGTACAGATGACTGTGTTGAAGAGACAGACGAAGTGCATTGGGGTTCATAGCAAAAGCGAAAAAGCAAATGGACGTTACTTAATGCAACAAAGCCTGGCATATGATACCGCAATACCTAGTTTGAGAATGGAGGTGGAGGCAGTCACTGCTGTCTTCCACTGGCTTGAGAACCAACTGTACACACATGCCGTAATTGTAACTGAATCACAGAGCATGTTGAGAAAGATGTAGACAGGCATGCTCTGTAGCAAGCATTGCTTCTAGGTCCCATGTAGTTAGCGTCCCTTGGAAGTTTTCTCCAGGTCATGCCGGTGTGTTGGAAAATTAACAGGCAGATAGATAGGCTGGTTCTGCACTATTTGGTGGTGAATTGACAAGCTAGGTGTTTTAAGGGTCCTTTGGAAGAGATTGCATAGGCACAAATAGATCATTACAATCTGAGGAGAATGGCACAGCAAGGAGTGACCAGGGAATCTGGCTGACGCTCAGCACTCAGGGGAAGAGCAACACAGAGATAAAATCAGACAGTTGCTGGTGCTTTCAGAATTGGAACTCTTTGTTTGCTGCTAAATATGGGGGAAGACGCTATGGAAGTGTCCTGGGTGCTGCGGTGTGTTCTTTTTCAACATTAAAGGAGAATATGATGTCATAAAGTTTTGATTGAAAAAACCCAGGACTCGATGCAAACCTATGACTTTTGGAGGTGGAGAGTTAACCGTATATCTCCCTCAACACACAAAGCGGTAGAAACGGATAACAAGAAGGAGAGGCATTAGTTTATCTCCTAGCCACTGTGACCCACACATCCCTGGTATTTTTTTAAAACTTTCCTCAGCTTCTCTTCGTCAATTTCTGTGGCTTAGGTGTTGCGAATGCATTTGTAATGCCGGGGTGGCAGGTTCGATCCCATCTGCGGGCCTTGCGCCTTGTGTTGGTTTCAACAGTGATATTGGGAAGCCGACCGTCCAGAAAGCATTGGCAAACTACTGGACTTGAATTTGCCTAGAAAAATCGCAACAGCCAAAAATGCTAGGGTTGGTTCTGTAACGTCCTGTAAAGTGATTCAACTAACTTTAACATCTTTTCTTCAGGGACCCATTATCTGGTCTTGGACGCACCAGCCACAGCTGCCAGAGTGTACCGAACTGTTGCCCAAGAAGTGCTCCTCACACCTCAGCTGTCATTCTCCAACTCAAACATTCTACCTGGCCAGTATGTCAAGAATTTTGTGACTGTTGTAAGTTGCACTTAATTCATTCTTTCACTCATTCATTGTCATGCTGTGCCATTATATGTCACATAGGGCTCGCAAGTCTATTCCTCCGTTCCCTTCAGTCCTGTGCTGTCAGTTCAATATCCTAGATGGATCTGTTAAGCAGCTTTGGCCTCTCTCATCAACATTCGTTCGGTGGTTTCTTTAGGTGTTTTTTTCTCTATAATGTTAATTCATTCATTGTCCTGTTGTGCCATTATGTGTCACATCACATAAAACTTGCTGTCTATTCCTGCTTTCTGTCTATCCTGCGCAGTTAGTTCAAGATCACTGATGGAATCTAGTCCAGCAACTTTGGCCTTTCTCATCAACATTCATTTGAGGGTTTCTTTTCAACATCCTCGCTTCCACAGTCCCTTTTCTGCAGTGTTTGAGCTTGTCTTCTGCCATTCATTACTCCCCCCCCCCCCCCCCCCCCCCCCCCACACCAGGAAAGCATAGGCCTCAACCAACTCGTGCCAATCCATTTGCAAACTTGTTCATACCTTTGCTAGGTTTCAAAAGTACTTAAGATTAACTTTTTTTAAATGTCAAATGTTGAATTAAGTATTGACATCACAGCACTTGGGACACTCCTATAGGTGCTCAGTCCCCATCTTCAGTTTTTTTTTTAATGTCAACATATAAACCTTGACTTGCATGTAATTTTCTTCTTTCAATTAAACATAGTTTATTTCTTTACAAAATAATGAATTGCAACCTGTCTTGCATTTAAAGTAGTTTATTTCATTACAAAATATTGAACTATAACCCATTTTTACTCTTCATTTAATGCATTAAAAAGTATTTAACTATAACACATCTTACATTTGAATTGTTTTATTTTATTAAACATAATGAGTTGTAATCCTTCTTACAATTCATTACATTTATTTCAGTACTTTTCAAATAGTTTATTTCATTTTTTTTTTAAAACACACTATAACCTTTCTTACCTTTCAAGTAGTTTCTCTCATGAACAGTTAATTAATTGTAACCTTCTTACATTTGAAGTACACTGGACTACGTAGTGCCTTGCCTCCAAATGTCCACTTGCTGACCCTTGATCAGTTCCGCCATACCGGACCCGTGCCATCTCCTGGTGGGACAGCACCATATATAATCAGACTGGAACACTTTTATGAGGCAGATGAAGATTCTGACCTGTCACGACCAGTCACCTTTGATATTCAGGTGAGTGAACATATATTGTTTGTCAGTACTGTACATGTCTGCTTAAAACAAGTGACATTTCCCAGCTGGGTTTTGGGGAAACAAGTTCATTATCTACACCTATTTTTTGTGGCCAACCTATAAATTAAACTTATTCTATATTGTAGGTCTGACAAACATAGATATAATCGACATTACCGTTGAAGTCGCAGTGTGTCTGCCTTGGAGTTAAAGAACCAAAGGTCTCACATAAATATGCGAGATCTTCATCTCTGTCTTTAATTGTTAGCACCGTGAGCTAGACTCCCATGCCTCTGTGGTATAATGGAACACTGTTGTTTGGAAAGTCAGAGAGGTGCTAACAAACTCATAAGTATAATTTTTAGATAATGTCATAAAGTTAATATTTGGGTGAGTGTAGTTGACAGTACTGAACGTGTCTGCTTAAAACAAGTGAAATTTCCTGTCTTGGTTTATTTTGAAGGAAAAAGTAGACACGCTTACATTTGATATTTTGCTGAGTGAGTGTTCCTTTGGGAACAAACAACGGAATCAGTAGAGAAACAAGATTATTATAGCCTGAAGAGAATGAGGCACCTGGGTATAACCAGAGGGTCTGGCCGGCTCACTTCCCTTAGAGGAAAGGCTAGATGGACATATAACCAGACTGTGACCGGTACAGTCAGTATTGGAACTCTGTGCTGGCTGCTGAAGATGAGGACGGAGTATGCATGGAAATTTCCTGAGTACTGTGATGCCAATTCTTGACTCAACTCAACTCCGAGAGAGAGAATGTTGTCAGTACTGAAAGTGTCTGCTTAAAACAAGTGAAATCCCCTGCCTGGGTTCCTTGGTCCCATTTTGGACAGAAAAGTCAACCCACTGCCCGTTAACTCTTTGGATGCCAAGCAACTTATCCAGCATTTTGTGTGATCACTCCAAAGACAACCTGGTTTCTTGCATTCTTTTATAACAGATGGGAGCTGCCATGATGTAGTGGCTAGACACTTGAAAAATTGTGGGTTCAGGTCCTGATAAACCCGGATGTGCTTTAAAATTAACCAGGCTTTGAGTGGGCAGGAGGTATAGTCCTGGGAAGTAAAGTCGGCCAGAGTGATGTTGACCACATTACCCACCGAGTGCTAATGGATCTATAAAATATAGGTCTAGTCCTCTATGCCCAATACACCAGAAGGCATGGAAAAGGTTCAGTGCTTTTGTCTCACCCCATCCATCTTGTCCAGAAATCCAGGTATTTATCTCTTTGCCTTCCTCTTGCCCTCTTTCCACCAATCTTGCCTGTAGTTACAAGTTCTTGAGTTCATTTCTTCTCATAAAATGTCCAAAACAACATTGGCTGTCTGAAATTTTGCAAATTTCATCTCTGTCAATGAGGACTGCTTTTTCTATTCTTTCATGATATTCTTTGCATTCTTCTCAGATACCAAATCTCTGCCGAGAGTAAATGTTTTACAGTTTGAAGAGAACCAGTTTAGGTTATCACTTTTTGGACTGAAGAGGTTAGCGAGCATATGATGCAAAGCCTCTGATTAAGATTTTGCAGAAATTGGATGTATTGTAAACCACAACACAATGTCCGAACCAATCTTTTAATGGTGATCACAGAAGAAGAAGAAGAAAAATAATAATAAGAAGAAAAAGAAAGAAGAATGGAGACCAAGAATACAAGACATTAAAGCAAAACCTGCTCACTGGGGAAGATGCATTTCAGGAAATGCAACCTGAAAACTTAAGGTGGCAGAGCAGACTAGGCTTTTTGTCTCTGTTGGCACCTGTTCTAAGAGGGAAGACTCTGCTGGCACCTGTTCTAGGAAGGATGGTTGTTGGCAGGTGGTCCAGGAGAGAAGACTTTGTTGGCAGCTGGTCTAGGAGGGAAGACTCTTGGCAGGTGGTCTAGGAGGGAAGACTGTTTGCAGCTGGTCTAGGAGTTAAGACTGTTGGCAGGTGGTCTAGGATGGAGGACTCTGTTGGCAGCTGGTCTAGGAGGGAGGACTCTTGGCAGGTGGTCTAGGAGGGAAGACTCTGTTGGCAGGGAAATTCTGATAGGCAGATCACTACTCTTCTGATCCAACAACTTCAGCAGCATGCTTGGTTTCAAACATTGGTGTTACCTTTCTTTTGTAGTTAAAAAAGCAGCCCAGATGGTAGACAATGCTGCATGTGCAACATATGGTTTATGTAATACTGCCAAGGCTTGTGCTATGGCAAGAAGGAACTTCATCCCTGGCCTTAATTGGTTGCCCCACAAGCTAGACTCATGCCTCTCTGTGGCATAATTTAACACAGCCGTCTGAAGAGACAGAAATGTACCAACAGACTTAACCCTACCATACTTGAGGTCCTGAACCTAACTGTCCCCTATATCTGAGTTCCTGGGCATTAACACGAAAAAATCAACATGATATACACAAATATTAGTTACATGCAAAACAAGAGGTTAGAATAAGATGAAATTTGGAGACATTGTAGAAAGTAGGTTTACCTTTCAGCTAGCACCAATATTCCACCTTTGTGTTCCAATCCACTCACTAGGATCAGCCTTGTTTTGCAAAGTGAGCACCAGATATTGCTGTTTGAGGGACATGCATTCCTTATCTTACTATTGATCTAGTTTTAAATCTAAAATTTTCAAGATTCTCCTCATCACTCGAGTTCTCGCTGACTGTGACTTCAACTGTGAACGTATTCTTCATGAAATTCTGACTTCTCAGAGTCTGAATCAACCAAAGTGTTGATCATCTGTTGGACTGTGAAAAGCCTACACCTACTTCACTTTCCAGTCAAAATGCTTGGTTCATTAGCCGCTCATTTCATTGTGAATTTTCAGAATTTTTTCACATTAAACCACACAAAGTAAATCCAAACACATGTGGGCAGACATCTGGAATGACTATCCATGAGGTCTGACCACGATTGGCTAGTTATTTTTAGTTTATAGCGCATTGTTTTTATATGACACAAAGTACCGACAATGAGGTACAGTGGTTTAGCGGCAGATTAGGAAATTACAGCAGAAGCGGTATATCGGTCTGGTAGAGTTAAAAGTTTAATACCTAAATTATGCCATACATACCATGAGCTCAGGAATTAACAACAGAAATACATTGCTTTGAAATATTTTCATGTGCAACTGTGATCTGGTTTCAGAACCTTTTTGCACCATTTACTGTCACGGATGTTCATGAGCTGACCCTGGGGGCAAACTTACCTATTGAAGAGCTGCAGAGACTGTCATGGAAAACTCAAGATGGTAGGTCTTGTGGGTGATCTCACCTAGTCTTATAATGTGATGTTAAAGCTGAACACGAAGTGGAAGAGCAACATCAGCATTGCAGTAAAGCTCAGTGTATACCAGTGTTTCCTAAACTTTTCTTGGTCGCAGTGCCTTTTTTAAATTAAAATGTTTCCACGGCACCCAAACCTAAATAAAAGTATGACTATTTGTGTCTTAGTTAAATTAATTATGAAGCTTTTACAATATTTTGTGGCGCCCTAACCTAAATAAAAGTATGACTATTTGTGTCTTAGTTAAATTAATTATGAAGCTTTTACAATATTTTGTGGCGCCCCTGTGAAGAGGTCGTGGCTCCCCGGGGTGCCACAGCACACAGTTTGGGAATCACTGGTATATACAAAACACTGGTATTGTCAATCTTCTTATACAGATCTGAGAGTTGGACTGTACTCTCACTGTGGAAATGGAAGGGAGGATTCAGGTTTTTGAACAAATACTAAAGATGGTTTTTCACAAATGAGTAATTAAGAACATAAAACTAACAAATATTTAAGAGACAAACAGATCTGCATGACATCATTTGGAACATTTTTGGCAGTGGTGAACCGTTGCAGGCTAGTTTGGTTTGGAAACGACGTGGTGAGACATGATTTGATTGGAATGACTCTACTTAAAGGTGCAGTGGGGGGTAGTCAAAGAAAAAAAAGAGGGGAGGGGGGAACCTGCATCGACAACTTCTAGAAATAGACAGACTAAATTATTATACATCTGTTCAACACTTGTCTGGGAAGAAACAGACTAAACACAAATGTTAACACCAATGGTCCTGGAATCCCTTGCTATAATTGTGGAAGACTTTTCTTAACTCGAGCGGGTCTTGCTAGTCATACTCGCCATCACCATGGGCTGTGAGTCCCATGCCTCCTCATAGCACAATATAACACTTTCGTCTAGAAAAAGAGAAAGGTGCTAATCGATCAGTCATGCTCAACAAATGGAAGACAGAGAAAGATGGCAGGTTTTGGATGCTGGTGCTTCCATCGATACACCTCCCTGACCCTAACGGTCAAGTTTATGTTATTGTTTTCCCTGTTATTTTCCTTACACAGATGACATTGCAAACTCAGCAAACACTCATATCTTCTTCTTCGCGCTCACTGGCTGTAAACTCCAGCGGAAAGTTCTGGTTCTTTCACCACATCTAGCCTTTAGTCTGGTTCCAGCACCCGAGTAAATAAAGTGACGTCATCATTAGTTTCTTAGGACTTCACAATGATTAAAAACACACACAAAAAACAAATCATTCTTCACCCTGAATAATCTCAACATTTTAAAAAATGTGATTTTTATCATACCACTGTGTCTACACATTATGCTCTTGCAACCTGTAACAAAGCTGTTAATTAGGCGTATTCATCACTACCGAATGATATGTCATCAAAAACCTGTAAAATTCTGACAGCTGGCTTTCTCAAGGTGACAGCTCGCTTTCTCAAGGTGACAGCTGGCTTTCTCAAGGTGACAGCTGGCTTTCTCAAGGTGACAACATTCAAAGGAAGATAGTATATTAATCATTAAAAAAACCTGCCAGTTGTTGCCTTTATTTACACCACCAAGGGGGGGGGGTGGGATTGGGGGTTGAACCTGCAGATTTAGGGGTGCATGGCTAGTGCCGTCGGGGGGGGGGGGTCTTTGAACCTGAAGATTTAGGGCTGCATGGCTAGTGCTGTCACCACGAACTGCAGGTGTGGATTTTTATTTTTGCCCCAGACAGAAAAAATACCCAACCTTACCGAGGATTTGAACCCAGGTCTGCCCCACGAGAGCCCAGCATTATCACTGTTTGGTGATAGTTATTTATTCTTTTATTTATTTTACTAAAAATTATTATTGTCTAATACTGTAATAGGATAATGTGAGCACATTTTGGTGCTGTAAAAAATAATTTATTATTTTTGATTATGCTTAAGAAAAAGACAAATCATTTCAAGCTGAATGAATAAACAACATGATCTCTTGTTACACTGTACATCGGACTGCAAAAGTCTCAGATTAACCCATGTGATCTTTTTTTGTTCTCTCAACAGGTTCAACACCAGTGAAGCAGAAAAAGGCACTGATTGGCACCACCATCACCCTGGGTCCCATGCAGATTGTGACTCTTCAAGCCAACATCAATTTGTAGTCAATTGTGTTTGATTTTATCATGGTCACTTCCAAGAAAGTCATCAACACACTGAATTGCTCCTCCGAGATCATCATCATCAAGTGCCAGCCCACAACCTGCGATCCCCAACAGATCATCATCATCGTCATCAAGTGCCAGCCCAAAACCTGCGATCCCCAACAGCATATATTAGTTCAATGTTGACACCCCTTTGGGCCATAAAGAAAGGCTCTTGAGAATCTTCTCACATTGTCTTCCTCTATCTCTCTTTCCCCACTTTTTTCAACTGGTCACATGGTTCCATACTCCCTGTTTGCAAAACAAGGTCAGAAAAATAATAACTGCCCTCCTCTGATGTTCTCTTCTGGCCCTTGCTTCTTTCAGAACATTTGGGTTGCTTTGGGGGAGGGGGGGCTGTCCAATGTATTTTGAGCGCTCTTCAGTAAAATTATGTCTCTGAGACCTTAAGAAATTATTTGGCTTGTTTGTTAATTGTCCAGGATCCCTGTGTGGGTTCCGTTGCCCCATTGAGGGGAAAAAATAATAGAGCCAGCATGTGGTAAGACTCGACTAATTGGGGACTTCCTTGGCAGTTGGAGTGCATCCGCCTGAGAGGCAAGGAATCAACAGTCCACATACAGATAGATCTGTAAAATGGATGTGCATGCAACATTCAGATTCTGGTGGAAGAACAACCAGAACTTTCCGCTGGAGTTTACAGCTAGTAAATGTAGAGAGGAGAGAGAGAATTGTCCATGATTCACAGCCATATGTTTTTCTCAGAATGATGAAATGCTTTTAGTTTTGCTATTGTAGGTAAGGTTAACAAAACCTTATATAGGGCCATCTTAATGTCACTTGCCCACTGGCAATATGATGCTAAAGGCTTAGGTCAACCTGGAAGTCGAGGCCAATTTTAAAATATAATTTTTTTTTTAAATTCTCCTTGATATTGCTTTGAACCTACAACCTTTGGGCTGGCAGGTGAGCGTCCAATCACTGTGCTACTATGACTCTCCCAAGCATAAGGAGCCAGACCCATATTTATATAGCCCACTTGGTGCTAAAGAGGTGATATGGTCAGCATTCCTATTCTATGAAATCTGCATATCCTGTAATGAATCATACGAATTGGGAATTCCTGGGGGCATTCAATCAAGTATCACGTTACAGAACCATTCTAAGCATTCCTTATTTAACCCTCACACCACGAGAAGCTGCTAACCCGGCATATCTGTCCCTTGACATATTTCCCTAAGTGAGATAGAGAGGTTAACGGAGGTTAGATGGGCATAATAACCTTTAAAAAGCGTCCCTTTTGGTTTGAAAAAAGTCTATCAAGAGTCCAAGAGTTGGGTACAAGAGAGGAAGAAGACCAGGAAAGAAAATCTGGCTAGCTGGACAGGCCCTAAACATCCAATTCAACCAACAGAGGTGGAGGGAACTGCCAGTAAAAAAAAAAAAGTTGATTGCCTTGAAAAGTTTGTACACTCCTCAGTGTCCGACAGTGGTTGGGGGGGTGGGGGATGGATCATGTTGACAAGATGTCCATCAGTTTAAAAAAGATTACGTGACCAGATGAATGAAAAGTGAAAACCTTGACAAGCTGACCATTAGTTAAAAATTGTAGTAGTTGACCACCAGTGGACAAATGTTATCGATGTGTATTTTATTTTGATGAAAAAGTTGTCAAGGGGTCCAACAGTGGAGGAAGAAAAGGTGTTAAATCAATGAAAGCTCTAACAGATATACACTCGTGTATGAAAAGTGAAAGATCTGACAAGCTGGTCATTGAATGATACAACAAGGAATTATAATGTTTCTAGTAAAATAAGATGTGTTTCATTACTATACAGTCAAGAAAACCTGAGAACAGTATAACTAGAATGTTTTCGCACTGAAACCCACAGGGGTATAGAAATAAAGGAAGACCAAAAAAACACATGAGAAAGGAGCTAGAGAGGGAAGTTGAAAAGATGGTGAGGACATGGGAAGAGCTGCATGCGATGGCGAAGGATAGAACAATCTGGCGGGAGTTGGTGAGGGCCTATGTTCCATTGGGGGTTAGAAAGGCAGAAGAGACTCTACAGTGTGATAATTTAATAATGAGACTAAAATTATTTTGACCACTCTAAGAAGCACCCTCCATGTAAAAACTATGTCACCCAAATAGATATTGTTCATCTGTGATTTGGTAAAACTTATAATTCTGGCCCTTTTGTTTTTGTATATAACCAATATACATTGTATATACTCTTGCTTTCCTCCCTGTTTTAAATATTTTACTATACATGAAGAAAGTAGAACCTGGAATGACAACATCAAGAAATGGACAGGACTAAGTTTTCAAACACTTATTCCTCAAGCGGAATACAGAGGAAGATGGTGGGTTTTATGTGCTAGTGCTTCTATCAGTACACCTCCACGACCCTAATAGATCAAGGGTTATGTTATGTTTAACATTAATCTAGAACCATATACCTATACCCCCACCCCCTTTCAACCAACAACCTAACTGTAAACCAAATAATGCTGAGTTTATTGCCTTATCAATAACTGTCTGTGTTTACTGGGTTTGTAGGCTTGACAAAAGACTCAAAATTTAGAGCCCTGCAACCTAAACCTCACCACTGTGGCAACACCCATTATTCAATGAATACAGGCAGCTCCTTTAAAAATAGCTAATCGAATATAAAAAAATATATCACGCTTTTACATTTTCTGTCAAATGTACCCTTTATCATTTATATGTCCCCATGGCTAGTTAGTTGTGAATATGAAATAAATAAAATAATTATATAACTGTTATTGCATTTCTTCTATTTATATATGTGTATGCTGTTGTATATTATTTGCTACAGTATTTAAGCCAACTCCATGACACCTAAGACATCTACAGCATAAAGAAATGTATCTTAACAAAAGACAGGAGTCTACCTTTACCCTTCTTTAACTCTTTGGTCACAGAGAGTAGTTAATTTAGCTATAAATCAGGGCTTGATGCATTGTTCTGGGATCCAAAGAGTTAATACTAATAACTATGTACTTGTAAATATTTTATTAAAGGATTAAAAAAAAAGACCCTCCTCTGGCTAACAACCAAGTCGTAACCATAATTATAACAAGGGAAAACTCTCAAGACTTTATAAATTATAATATTTAATTACCCATCTTGAAACAAAAGTTTAGAGAGAACAATAATGGAGGGGTATATACCTGGAAAGAGAGGAAGAGGAAGGCCAAAGAGAAGATGGGTGCAGGATGTGACGGATGGTCTCCAGATGGGTGTATCGGACGCAGGACATCTTGCTTGTGATCAAGAAGTTTTGGGAGCGAGGTTCTGCGAAGGACAGGCTACTGACTGACGGACTGAATTACCCATCACCCTGCTGTTAAGCACAAACTCTCATCATCAAACAAAATAATACTAAAGACATCTGTGGCTTACAATCGCTTAACTTGCACTAATTATAAATTTTTATAGTGTACCGTATATCTTGAATTCACCATACAGTCGTAACCACTACTAAATCCTTGTTCCGTCAAGTTTTTTTCGATATCCCCGTACAATCAAGAGGCTGGCCATCTTGGCGGATATATAGATGTTGGACTCATATTTTTACCCAGCAATCTGCACTCAAATGGTTGTGTGGCAAAATTACACTGGACTCCTTTATGTCCCATTAATTTTTCCATACGAATGTATGGCTGGGTCAACCTGGGAGCCAAGATAATATTTTAAAACAATCCGACTTGATTTGAAATAGAACCTAAGACCTTCTGGTTAAAGGAGAGCCTCTAGCCACTATACAAATGCTGTAAGATATATGTATAAAAGAACCCTTTTGCACGCCCATAGGCATTTTGGGAATATAGTTCTAGACCTATAATATAGGCTATATTTTATAGAACAGTGGATTTAGTGCTCAGTGGCTGACTGTTGTGTGTAAAATTTGCTCTTATGTTAAAGAATTAATGAAGCCAGGGCTTTGTGAAGCATGGGTACACACGGGCATTTATGTTGAATTGACGGATTAAGAATGTAAACATTTCGGGCCACTGGAAGAGAGTGGAACATAAGCCACTGGGGAAACATGAGTCCCTTGAAGTTCATGGCAAACTTATGGACATCACAGATACTGTGGGATCTGTGTAGGTCGACAGCGCTGTTGGGTTGTAAACCCTGAATATTGGTGAGAGTGTGAGATCCATGCCGAATTGACAACTGGTGGGAAAAGTCCTGTGGAAGTTTGAGTCAGTCAGTCAGCTTTCGGTCTATCTTAGTGTGTGGATGTGTGTGCGAAATGTCCAGGTCCTATGGACTGTCGTGTGACAGTTTTAGCAATGTTTTATTCTATGGAGCTCGTTTGAACTGTCTAGATGATTGTGGTGGATCATGAGTGTGATTTCTAGATTGAACTTGTGTCAGCCCTATGTGTGGGGTCAACAGAGTTGCGGCTATGTGGCATGCTGGTTGACGGGTGTTCTTAAGTGTACAGAAGGTGCTAGGGAACTTTTTTGTGTGTTTACCAAAGTGGAGTTGTGATGGGGAGGTACCGGGGGTTGGTTAATGAAATGTTGATGAATAATACCTAAGTGAGTGGCTAGGTAGCAGGCGGGAGATCTTAATTCTTTTCACCAAATGGTGGGTTTTTTAGAGGAAGAACCATCAGAGGACAGTCACTGAACATCTGTCACAAAGTGCTGGTGTAACAGAGACAAGATAGTGTCTGGTAGTGGTTCAACCCTTCCTGCTATACACATGTAGAAAGACCTACTACTCAGTGAAGGTACAATGTTAACTGGTGGCTAGCATATTGGCTTAAAAGGGTATCTCAATATTCGTTAATATGGTTATATTCTTAACATATGAAAAATCCCTAGGGTGGGATATTAGTATTAACTATCTGTTCAAGACACTCAGTTATTTTGTCTACATGCGGAATGCAATTTTTTGTTTATTTGAAACCCCACCCTGGCTTTTGCCGGGGGCCCTAAATATAAGCCCGGCCATAAAT